GTTCTCTCTGTGTCAGAGGGGTGTGTCAGAGGGTGTTCTCTCTGTGTCAGAGGGGTGTTCTCTCTGTGAGAGGGTGTTCTCTCTGTGTCAGAGGGGTGTTCTCTCTGTGTCAGAGGGGTGTTCAGAGGGGTGTTCTCTCTGTGAGAGAGGGGTGTTCTCTCTGTGTCAGAGGGGTGTTCTCTCTGTGACAGAGGGGTGTTCTCTCTGTGTCAGAGGGGTGTTCTCTCTCTGTGTGTCAGAGGGGTGTTCTCTCTGTGTCAGAGGGGTGTTCTCTCTCTGTGTTGTGTCAGAGGGGTGTTCTCTCTGTGACAGAGGGGTGTTCTCTCTGTGACAGAGGGGTGTTCTCTCTGTGTCAGAGGGGTGTTCTCTCTGTGTGTCAGAGGGGTGTTCTCTCTGTGTGTCAGAGGGGTGTTCTCTCTGTGTCAGAGGGGTGTTCTCTCTGTGTGTCAGAGGGGTGTTCTCTCTGCTGTGTCAGAGGGGTGTTCTCGTGTGTGTTCTCTCTGTGTCAGAGGGGTGTTCTCTCTGTGTCAGAGGGGTGTTCTCAGAGGGGTGTTCTCTCTGTGTCAGAGGGGTGTTCTCTCTGTGTCATGTGTCTCTCTGTGTCAGAGGGGTGTTCTCTCTCTGTGACAGAGGGGTGTTCTCTCTGTGACAGAGGGGTGTTCTCTCTGTGTGAGGGTGTTCAGAGGGGTGTTCTCTCTGTGTCAGAGGGGTGTTCTCTCTGTGTCAGAGGGGTGTTCTCTCTGTGTCAGAGGGGTGTTCTCTCTGTGTGACAGAGGGGTGTTCTCTCTGTGTCAGAGGGGTGTTCTCTCTGTGACAGAGGGGTGTTCTCTCTGTGACAGAGGGGTGTTCTCTCTGTGAGAGGGTGTTCTCTCTGTGACAGAGGGGTGTTCTCTCTGTGACAGAGGGTGTTCTCTCTGTGTGTCAGAGGGGTGTTCTCTCTGTGTGTCAGAGGGGTGTTCTCTCTGTGTCAGAGGGGTGTTCTCTCTCTGTGTGTCAGAGGGGTGTTCTCTCTGTGTGTCAGAGGGGTGTTCTCTCTGTGTCAGAGGGGTGTTCTCTCTGTGTGTGTGTTCTCTCTGTGTCAGAGGGGTGTTCTCTCTGTGTGACAGAGGGGTGTTCTCTCTGTGTGTCAGAGGGGTGTTCTCTCTGTGTCAGAGGGGTGTTCTCTCTCTGTGTCAGAGGGTGTTCTCTCTGTGTGACAGAGGGGTGTTCTCTCTCTGTGTCTCTCTGTGCAGAGGGTGTTCTCTCTGTGACAGAGGGGTGTTCTCTCTGTGTCAGAGGGGTGTTCTCTCTGTGTCAGAGGGGTGTTCTCTCTGTGACAGAGGGTGTTCTCTCTGTGACAGAGGGGTGTTCTCTCTGTGACAGAGGGGTGTTCTCTCTGTGACAGAGGGGTGTTCTCTCTGTGACAGAGGGGTGTTCTCTCTGTGTGTCAGAGGGGTGTTCTCTCTCTCTCTCTCTCTCGTGTTTGTGTCGTGTTGTTGGTTCATGTGAAACTTTTCACACATTATACGTGTGCAGGTGGTGCACACAGACACACGTTTATGTGACTGGACACATATTGTGTGTCTTAGTGTTTTGGTGGTGACAGACACACATCAGAGGATCAGTGTTTTCACACAGTCCCCATCACACTGTACTCACATACACACTAGTGTGAACCGACCACTCACATACACACTAGTGTGAACCGACCACTCACATACACACTAGTGTGAACCAATCACTCACATACACACTAGTGTGAACGGGGCCTCAGTGTTTCACCTGGTGCAGACAGTTTGAACACTGCTCCTGGTGCATGATGGGAGGTGTGGTCCATGTTCACACAGATGTTTTGTCTGTGTGAACTTCTCTTTCATGTGTGACCTCTGACCCCAGTGCAGGTGTCGGAGTGTGACAGGTGCAGCTTTGATTCTGCTCGATTTAAAAGACACAAACCTGCCCACGCACCAGGACTAAACCAGGACTAAACCAGGACTAAACCAGGACTAAACCAGGTCTAAACCAGGTCTAAACCAGACTAAACCAGGACTAAACCAGGACTAAACCAGGACTAAACCAGGTAACCAGGACTAAACCAGGACAGGACTAAACCAGGTCTAAACCAGGACTAAACCAGGACTAAACCAGGTCTACCAGGACTAAACAGAAAACCAGGACTAAACCAGGACTAAACCAGGTCTAAACCAGGACTAAACCAGGTCTAAACCAGGACTAAACCAGGACTAAACCAGGACTAAACCAGGTCTAAACCAGGACTAAACCAGGACTAAACCAGGTCTAAACCTAAACCAGGACCCAGGACTAAACCAGGTCTAAACCAGGTCTAAACCAGACTAAACCAGACTAACCAGGACCAGGTCTAACCAGGACTAAACAGGACTAAACCAGGACTAAACCAGGACTAAACCAGGTCTAGACCAGGTCTAAACCAGGACTAAACCAGGACTAAACCAGGTCTAAACCAGGTCTAGACCAGGTCTAGACCAGGTCTAGTCCGGGCTGTGGTCTGGTCTTGTGGAGCTGTTCGTTTCTTTCTCTGTATTTTTTTTCTTCTTCTTCATTTTCTGTCCGTGTGTTTATTTATTTGTTGATATAAAAGTGTTGCTCGGTTCAATCTCACTTATGTAACAGTGACAGACCTGAGACACAACAGCACCAGGATTATACACACACACACACACACACACACACACACACACACACACACACACACACACACACACACACACACACACACACACTGTACACACACACACACACACACACACACACACACACACACACACACACACACACACACACACACACACACACACACACACACACTGTACACACACACACACACACACACACACACACACACACACACACACACACACACACACACTGTACACACACACACACACACACACACACACACACACACACACACACACACACACACACACACACACACATGTACACACACACACACACACACACTGTACACACACACACACACACACACACACACACACACACACACACACACACACACACACACACATGTACACACACACACACACACACACACTGTACACACACACACACACACACACACACTGTACACACACACACACACACACACACACACACATGTACACACACACACACACACACACACACACACACACACACACACTGTACACACACACACACACACACACACACACACACACACACACACACACACACACACACACACACACATGTACACACACACACACACACACACACACACACACACACACACACACACACTGTACACACACACACACACACACACACACACACACACACACACACACACTGTACACACACACACACACACACACTGTACACACACACACACACACACACACACTGTACACACACACACACACACACACACACACACACACACACACACACACACACACACACACACACACACACTGTACACACACACACACACACACACACACACACACACACACACACACACACACACACACACACACACACACACACACACACACACACACACACACACACACACACACACACACACACACACACACACACACACACACACACACACACACACACACACACACACACAGCACCGTCAGGGGAGCACATGGACATGAACATATATTATGTTATAAGGATCTTTTTTCAGTCAGAGTTTGTTTTCCTCTGGACAGTTTCTTCTGCTCTTCACCGTTTACGTCTTTAAATTTCCTCTTTAATCCAGCGACGTTTTTCTGTAGGTTTTTCTGTCTGAAAAAAGAACCTGACGACGTAAACGATCAGACGAGCAGATGAATCACACAAGTGTAAATTAATGTAAAAAGCTGCATGACTCTGAGTTTCTACAGAGACTCCAAATCTACAGAAGCTGAGAGAGGCCACAACACACACACAAGCCACAACACACACAAAAGCCACAACACACACAAAAGCCACAACACACACAAAAGCCACAACACACACAAAAGCCACAACACACACAAAAGCCACAACACACACAAAAGCCACAACACACACAAAAGCCACAACACACACAAAACCACAACACACACAAAAGCCACAACACACACAAACACCACAACACACACAAAAGCCACAACACACACAAAAGCCACACACACACACAACACACACAAAAGCCACAACACACACAAAAGCCACAACACACACAAAAGCCACAACACACACAAAAGCCACAACACACACAAAAGCCACAACACACACAAAAGCCACAACGGAAATGACCGCGGGACTCTATTTTAATGCAAACGCCGCAACAAATACAAACGCCACAACACATTAAAATGTCACAACACATTAAAAAGCCACAACACATTAAAAAGCCACAACAGAAGTGACCACAGGACTCTATTTTCCGATTTTTCACATTGTAGTTCTTCTTCTTCACTTGCCGCTTGATCAGTCCGTCGGAAAATAGAGTCTCACTGTCACTTCTGTTGTGGCTTTTGAAACTTGAAACTTGATTGTGTTGTGATGGTGCTCTGAAGGGGGAGTGACTCAGTGTGGAGAGTGAAGACAGCATTTTAAAACAATCAAAGGAAACACAAGATTATTATTGTATGTTCAATTTCAGTGCAGAGGAAGAGTGTGTTTTACTCATGTTGTGCGTTTTTTTCTGTTTGTTTTTGTTGTGTGTGTGTGTGTGTGTGTGTGTGTGTGTGTGTGTGTGTGTGTGTGTGTGTGTGTGTGTGTGTGTGTGTGTGTGTGTGTGTGTGTGTGTGTGTGTGTGTGTGTGTGTGTGTTGTTGTTATAGAAAGATGACATCAGTCTTTCTGAGGGCAGCACCGTCGACTTGAGGAAACCTGGAGAAGAAGAAGATGATTTCTCTGAACTCGAGCAGGAAGCAATGGACCCAGAGAACTGTTTCCCCGAAGGTACAGACTGCACCTGCCTGCACCTGCCTGCTCCTGTCTGCTCCTGCCCCCTCCTGTCTGCACCTGTCTGCACCTGCCCCCTCCTGTCTGCACCTGTCTGCACCTGCCCCCTCCTGTCTGCACCTGCCCCCTCCTGTCTGCACCTGTCTGCCCCTGTCTGCTCCTGTCTGCACCTGTCTGCACCTGCCCCCTCCTGTCTGCACCTGTCTGCCCCTGTCTGCTCCTGCTTGCTCCTGTCACTCCTGTCGCCCCTGTCTGCTCCTGTTTACTCCTGTCACTCCTGCCGCCCCTGTCCGCTCCTGCCCCCCCTGTCGCCCCTGTCGCTCCTGCCGCTCCTGTCGCTCCTGCCGCCCCTGCCGCTCCTGTCGCCCCTGTCGCCCCTGCCTCTCTCCTTGTTTCTTGGAGGTTGTTGGTTCAGTGGGAAACGGGGGCAGATTTTCAGACGCAGCGTTTTGGGCGACACTCGCTCCGTCTTCGCTCCGTCTGCTGTGATTGGTCCGTTTGAACGGCTGCCGGCTCCCGATTGGCCCGTGGTTGTGTGTAGTGACCTGATTCTCTCATGTTTAGATAAATGTGCTGGCGGCAGGTGAGCGCCTGCACCTGCACCTGCATCACTCAGCACTTCCTCCAACAAACACCACCAACTTTACAGCAAGAAACACCACGCACACAGGAGGGACCTGACACACACGGGAGGGACCTGACACACACGGGAGGGACTGACACACACACGGGAGGGACCTGACACACACGGGAGGGGAACCGGGAGGGACCTGACACACACGGGAGGGACTGACAACACGGGACCTGACACACACAGGGAGGGGACACACAGGGACCTGACACACGGACACACACACGGGAGGGACCTGACACACACGGGAGGGACCTGACACACACAGGAGGGACCTGACACACACGGGAGGGACCTGACACACACGGGAGGACCTGACACACACAGGAGGGACCTGACACACACAGGGGACACACACACGGGAGGGACCTGACGCACACAGGAGGGACCTGACGCACACAGGAGGGACCTGACACACAGGGGACACACGGAGGACCTGACACACACGGGAGGGACCTGACACACACGGGAGGGACCTGACGCACACAGGGACATTTCAGAATGTGTTTGTTGAAGTCTACAGGGTTTTTAGCAGCAAAAGTATAAAATAAAGAAATAATGGAACTAAACCCGGTCTTAAACCTGGTCTTAAACCCGGTCTTTAGCTGGTCTTAAACCTGGTCTTAAACCTGGTCTTTAGCCGGTCTTAAACCTGGTCTTAAACCCGGTCTTTAGCCGGTCTTGGTCTGGTGTAAATCGTCTCGTGTGCAGATTCGTTGTTTCTGTACAAACACAAACACAGATCTAATGTGGTCATCAGTCACACGCACATGCCCCAGATTCACACTGGCCTCGAATGCACCGCGCACACACCCCCCGTACACACCCCCGTACACACACACACCCCGTACACACACACCATACACACACTACACACACTGTACACACACATAAACACACAAACACACACAGCAGCTGAGTGTGTTTCCCAAACGCAGCACTTCTCATGTGACGTGTCTGTTTTTATGTGTGAGTGTGTGTGTGTACGGGAGTGTGTGTGTGTGTATAGTGTGTGTGTGTGTGTGTATAGTGTGTGTGTGTACGGGAGCGTGTGTGTGTGTGTATAGTGTGTGTGTGTATAGTGTGTGTGTGTGTGTACGGGAGCGTGTGTGTGTGTGTACGGGAGTGTGTGTGTGTGTGTATAGTGTGTGTGTGTGTGTGTGTATAGTGTGTGTGTGTGTACGTGTGTGTGTGTGTGTGTGTGTGTGTAGTGTGTGTGTGTGTGTGTGTGTATAGTGTGTGTGTGTGTGTGTGTGTGTATAGTGTGTGTGTGTGTGTATAGTGTGTGTGTGTGTGTGTGTGTGTGTATAGTGTGTGTGTGTGTGTGTGTATAGTGTGTGTGTATAGTGTGTGTGTGTGTGTGTATAGTGTGTGCGTGTGTGTATAGTGTGTGTGTGTGTGTATAGTGGGTGTGTGTACGGGAGCGTGTGTGTGTTCCTGGTCTCACACTGAGCTGGAGTCGTGTTTGTCTCTTTCACACACGTCAGAGTGAGTCTTTATTACATCTCCAAACGCTCTGTTCCCCCCTGTGATGTCATGAGGTGGTGGTTTTGAAGTGAGCAGCTCCGAGCAGCAGAGGTGCTCCTCATTACTCACAGCGACAGGAGCAAGTGCTGAGGAGGCTCCACACGGTCCTCACAAAAACTACACCCGACAAACCCACACGGAATCCCCCCCCCCCCGTCCCCCCCTCCCAGTCCTACCCCCCACCGGTCCTACCCCCCCCCCAGTCCTACCCCCCCCCACCCCCCCCCAGTCGTCTTTGTTGGGGCACATCCAGTCATCACTGTGTCTCTGTAAATTCTGTCACTTGTCAGAACTTAAACATGTGAATGAAACAAAACACAACCCCAGCTCTGTGTGAGACCTGGTCCAGTCCTGGTCTAGTCCTGGTCCAGTCCTGGTCCAGTCCTGGTCCAG